TCCGCACTCATTAAGGCCGAAGGGAGGGTGATGATCACCTCCGAGGAGCTATCCATGCTGTGGTTGGAATACACCGCCGTTCGAAGGGAATGGTTCGGCACCTTATCGGGATGTTTCCCTCGCAAATGGCTGTCCTCCGCACTAGAGGCATTCACACTGTGGGCTTTGTCGCGTAGTAGTCGTTGTCTTTTTTCTACCGTAAATGTCTCATGATCACGGTCAATAGGCTTAAACCCCGCCAAACAAAGCTCCTGATGTGGTATAAGGTTTCCTAAGGGCGAGTTCTGATCGTTTGTTTGGCTTGAATTCGAAAAGGTGCCACCAGAGGCGGTTTTGTGAACCATATTAAGCTCAAAAGGCAATGTTCCGTCGTTCTCACCCAACGCACATTGTGGCTTTTTCTTATCAACGATAACAGGGCTAAGCATTGTATTCAACTGAGTTGAGTCCTTTGCCACCTTAAGCGATTTTCCTTGCATCGGTGACTTAAGCTTTTGAGGGGGTTTCGAGTAGCCCTTTCTTACCTTTTCTTCTGCACTAATCTGAGGAGAGCGAAGGTTTAAGGATTGATCTTTGCTTCCTCCTCGCTTCGCGATTTCTCTCTTTTTTACTGGAGAGGAACTCTGCGTGCTGGAATGCGTTGAGCTGTTGCTAACGCAAAGAAGATTGTTATCCTTTCTCGGGACAACGTGCTCCTTCTCCACCTTTGCATCACTTTTCGAACTTGCGCAATCCTCTAAGCTTCCTTTGCAACGCGCACTTCCCGGTGACCGAGAGCTTGCATGCAGCCCCTCGATGGGATTACACGAGGTTGACTCCCCTTGCGCATCGAACGGCTGCACAGATGCTATGCTATCATTTTTTTTCAACGCGCCATTCGTCGATGGTGAGGATTTCGTGCTCGGATGAGACGACCTCGTAGGCTCGATATTCTGGAGCTTTAGCTGGGGCTTAGAGGGGACTAACGATAAATTGGAGGATAGAAGGGCTGTGTTTTTCGTCGAAGGAAACGTTTTAGGAGCAATACTAGTATTTGTATCCAAAACATGGTGCTCTTCAGGAAAACAATTAATACTAAGAGAAACATCATGTGTATTTTTTGTTTTTTAATGGTTTTATGTGAACTGGAAAGTAACTTTGGTGTGTTCTTATGATTATTTTGCATCAGCATAACAATAACAAATTCGTCTGTATATGTTTTCCTTTAAAATTTGTTTTTTTCCATACACATAGAAAAAAGTGGGAAAAATGACAATGTTGATATTTTTAGACTTGATAGGACTCTTTTGTTAGCTTGTTTCACAAAAAGAGTCGACAGAGGAGTGAACAGGATGTGTGTTGCTCTGTACACTCCAATTGAATCTTATTTGCCTGCTAAAGAAAGCGCCTTGGATATATCGGCTACGTCACAGAATTTTCTGAGTTTGAAAAATAATCCTTGCGCTAAAAGGGAAGAAAAGCCAAGAATGGAATAAAGTAATAGCTATAATTCAGTAAAGGGTGAAAAAAAAATGGGGGAAGCGTAATAGACTTGTTATGATATGATAGATATGAAGAAAGTGATTCCGCTAGATGCAATATTATTTCAAGAAGTACCTTGGTAAAGAAACGCAAATATATATACTAAATCTATATACGAAGAAGCTTGTAACTAAAAGGATCGAAAATCAAACTCACTAAATAAAAATACAAAGTAAATCTAGTTTAGCTATCTAAAAAAATAAAGGATAAGAGAGATAAATGGGAAAGAAAAAAAATGGAAAAATATATATTCATCGTTTAGAGTACGATTTTCTCGGAAGAGGAAAGGAAGTGGAGGGGGAGGGAAAGCTGATGTTTCTTCTCATTGTGATATCAAGATCTCAGGAAAACCCTTATGATTGCAGAAATTTCACCAAATATAGAACTGATGTGAAAAAAAAGTGATACATTAGTGCAAAACAATGAGGGGGCTATATTACATCGTTTTCTAATGTTTGATTCCAAAGAATAGATCTATTCTCATTAGGTTGCTATCTTTCCTGACGTAGACACGTATGGAAAGATTTGTTTGGTTGAATCTTTTGTAGTTTACATCTGGAAGCTATACATACACCTTCCCATCTACGGCTTCCAAATGCTTAAAAGCGTTACGCAGCCCTCGTCATCGCCAACAGCAATGTTGCACTTAGCATCATCTTCAATCGTAATTGAATTTGACGACCCAAAGTCGTTTTCAGGTTTCCTTCTAGAGGCTGTGCACCAGCACCTCGCAGGGCGATGGAGGAAAATTTGCCCGTGTGGTTCAGATATCATCCGACAGCTGTTTTCTCTATTCAAACCGCTGCCATTGTTTTGGATATCTGTCAGATCCATTTCCTCCTCATCGATTGTTGGAAGCGCCCAATACTTAAGTTCGACCCCATTTCCTAGCGTCAGGATCGCGGAGCTGCTCTGATAGAAGGACAAGCCGACAAGGGTTTGCTGAGAACTAAAAGAGTTTGCAAACACCTTAAGCACGAAATAAGGTGATACCACCACCGGCACAGGAAGCTTATCATCGATATCGCTTCCTTGGTGAGATAAACTAGATGTTTTGGAAGAATAAGAAGAAGTAGACACAGCGCCCTGCAACGGATAAATAAGAACCTCCCCATCTGAAGTGGCAAACGCAATACGCGCGTGATCATTGGAACAGGCGTAGTGCCGAACAAACGCCGTTTCCGTAGGAAGCACAAAGCTTCTCGTGATTCGTCGTCGAAAAGGATCGCATAGCTCGGGGTTACGCCCTTGCTCGACATAAGTTAATAGCACGCAGGGGTAGGAATCGTTTTCATCTTGGACTGGTTTCGCCTCTTTGGTGTAGGGTTGATCATCGTGCGCGGAGTATAAAATAGCTTCCTCGCCCGAGGATCGTATCGGCAGCCATCCTCCTTGCCGCACCTGCCCTGAGAGCACGACAAACTCAGTGGATAGCGGGTCACATGCATCCCTGCTATCCACCACCCTCCAAAGCAGCAGCTTCTCGTTGACGATGCAGGCGAACACCTCGTCAATTGATGGATGCGGCAGGATGTGAATGTAGCTACGCCGTGTGTAGATGGACGCTTCGGTGGCCTCCTTCCCTTCCGTGCGTGGGGTTGCCTGACAAAGAAGCAGATCTCTCCAAGAAAGCTCAGCTAACAGCAAGGAGCTCTCTGAGGCGTACACGCAAAGCATTAGGTCCTCAGTTGCAATAAAATAGTACCTCCCAATGGCGGAAAAACGGAACGCAGCAACTGGTGCTCGTGAACGCAACGCCCTGCTCGTATCTCGCCCGCCACGTTCGGAAACCAACTTTCCGCTGATCGCGTCGTACACCTGAAAAGAACAATCCTCCATCAGCGCGCCAACGTATGCACTGTTCTTGCGACAGCACGCGACGCCATCTACCTGTGCGGAAGGATGGCGAACTCTAAATAACAAAGAGCCCGTGTGATCGGTTTTTACCCAGCAAAGCGTACGATCAGAGCTGCCAGTGATCAAAAAATTACAATTCGGAGTGAATTGCATGCAAGTTACGGGCCTGAGATGAAGGGGGCTGCTTTTATTGCTGTTGATAACCCTAAAGTAGACCATTGATGAAAGCAGTGGCCTCTTTGTCTTTTCGAGAGCCGTTTTATCAGCCCCAACCCTTTCAAACCGCGGAATTCGCTGGTAGTGCTGCTTTACTTGAAGGATAAAAGACTGTGCGTCTCTCCACACACAGCCACTTGCATAGCGGCGCTTCGAAATACAGGCCTGTAGAACTGTTTCCGGGTGACTGAGAAGGTGATAACTCTTCTCGCGAACAAAATAGATATACTCACGAAGTCGAACAAGGGACATAGGGATTGCGTTTGTTGAGGGTTGGGGAGGATTCGGTAATGTTGTAGCGGGTACAGATTCGATCGTACTATAACTGGCATTACTAATATGATGAACCCCATCCATCTCGTTTGTGAAGTCCTCCTCACCACTCAGAAATAGTTCATAGCGAAGGTTAAAAGCCGAAATCAAATCGCGCAAGTATGAATACGCCAATTTATGGCGATACACCAATATCAGGTAAGGTACGGAAAGAACGGTCGAGTTAAATAACTCCCACAGACCTGCCTGAACCAGATGAAAAGGCAGCTCCTTAAGAGCATACCGCTCGTACGGGCTTATACTGCTCGTGGCGGCCTCGTTATCTGTCGAGGATAACAAAAGAAAGGCCCCAATGTCCGTGCTTTTCTGCACAATCGAAAGGTAATAACTCGCGAGGTGATTATGCCAAACACGACGATCCGTTTTCTCACTATCAAGCGACTTGTCGGCTCCAGGGTGAAAATTAGGCCGCTTATGTGAGGCATGCGCCTCACAACGCTGTGTTTCGAGTTGAGCTAAATGCGATTTAAAAGCCGGTGACGACAGCCTCACGTAGTTGTTCGGCAGGTCGGCGTCGCTCTCAAGGCATTTCAAATAAAACAGCCGCGGCAGCTCGGTAACAACGCGCATGTATCGAAGCATCTGTTGAAATCGCTGCGGGGGTAATTTGGTGAGCATTCGCAAATGTATCTCGGGAATACCCCAGCGCGAGACGCGTAGGAGTCCAAATACCCTGTAGACCAAGCTACTACTGAAGTTATCCACAAGCCTGTCATAAACGTGCTTTGCCATCTCCTCAATCGTATTGGGAAGCTGATTTAACAGCTGCATTACCGATAAACTCCCACCATCCTCGGCATTAATGCAGAGCGCGTCGATGAGGTAGTTTAGATACTCCGGGTTTTGCTGCACATCGTGTTTATGACAGGCAAGATCCACCTCATCATCCGTGAGCGAAATCCCTAGCTCGGCAAGAGCGACAGGGCTTAAAAGCCTTTCCGCATCATGTGTGGTATTAAGGCCGATATGCAGCACCTCCATGCTATCCCGATCCCAACTTCGTAGCTTCTCCACGAACGTCTTCCTGTTCTCGTTGCCCAGCCCCACACCGCAGCTAAGGAGCACGCGCACGTTGCGCGCCAGACACCTTGGAAGAAGATCCTCCGGTGAGATCTTCGCCACCCCCGCGGCTATCGCCGCCGCCGAGGCCGAGGACGGGCGGGATTTTTTCTCGTCCGCCCTTCCGTTCCCCGCGAGGGGGGCGAAGGGGAGGGGGATCATCCCCGCCGGCGGCGCGTCGAGCGCCTCGCAGGGGCGCACCAGCGCGTCGATCTCGTCGA